CTAACGCTGCTTGAATGAGCCAGCAACATGAAACCAGTGATCATTTTTATATAGTGGTGCAGCGAAATGAAAATTCTGGAGCCAAAAGCAAAAATTCAAAATGCACTTTGCCAAAAAAAAAAAAAATGCGCAGTTTTTAAAAATTAATATATATTTTTTGGAAAAAAATACAGTTTGATTAAAAAAAAAAATATATATACCCCAATTTTTTTGTAAAATATGAAAAGCGGATGTTACAGCAAGTAAATAGAAACCCAACATGTCATGCTTTAAAATTGTGCACACTCATAAAATGGCGTGAAACAGCGGTACTTAAAAAGCTCCATGGGTGATGCTTTAAAAATTTCTACAGGTTAGCAGTGTAAAGTTACAGAGGAGGTCTAGTGCAAGAATTATTGCTCTTGCTCTGACGTTCGTGGTGATACCTCACGTGTGTGGTTTACATATGTGAGCATGGCCTACGTATGCGTTCACCACTACGTGCGAGAAAATTAATCCATCCCTTGTGATAGAAATAATTAGTGATATTGACCCCATCTCTCTCCATAAAGAGGACATAAGACCCCCACATCTCTCCTCTGCAATGTAAAGCATTAGATCAAAAAAAAGCATTGATCTAGTACTTTAAAGGGAAAAAAAAAATGGCCGGAACGGGAAGTGATATCGCTCTGGTCCTCCAAGGGCATAGAGATGAGTGGCGGCCATCTTTCCTTCACTCATCTATATGCCCAGTGCCGGTTTCTCAGGTAAGTCTGAGAACTACTAAGCGGTGGCCGGTGGCAGCAGCAGAGGCGAGGGGCGAGTGGAGGGGATGAGGTTTTTTGGCACCTGTATCGGTGCTCTTTTTCATTTCAGCCAATGGCCGAAAGGGGTGTTTTCGGCCGAAATGTTTCGGCCACCGAAATTTTGTTGCATCCCTTGTTTTAGCCACCTGTAAGGGTGGAAATCTGACCACCTCTTTAAGTGATTCATTCTTTGAACTGTAATGGGTGCATTCTTCCCCTCAATAAACCGGTTTTAAACAGAGGTTCCTCTAGACCTGAAACTTATCTTTAAGGGTCCCTTAGCGGTAAAATGGTTGAGAAAGGCTAGTCTTCAGCTGGGCACCACACAGTGCGACTTCCACATAAATCTGCAGGTATATGCTAGTAACACCTATGTGTTTTAACATTTATATACTACATAGTGTAAAGAGCGCATGAGCGGACATGTAGTACAGATCCAAGGGTACAGGTCTATTTCTTTAGACAGATATTTAGAACTAGGCCACACAGTGGACCGTCATTGGAACCCATTACTTGAATAATTACATACATTTCCTACACTACATGCCAATTTATATAAAACCTTTGTAAACCTCTACATGGATAAAAGAAAGCCGCCTACGTGGATACTGACATGCACTCTCCTCAATCCCCAAAACATAATGTATTTTTACTGAATTTGTAAGCAAAGCAAATCAGTAGTGAACCTAACAAGCGATAATTACTTTACATTGCTGATGTTGTTGAGAGATCCATTGGCTTATTCCCAACAACTTGGACAGATAATGGGAGGCAGAAACAAAGCACTTGTGTTTGGGACCATTCACTTGTACCCACCTGGATGTTACATTGGGAGCAGCGACTGTGTACATGCCGCACACTGCCTGCCAATTGACAGCAATGGGATGTTCTACACGGGGATGAACATAACGCCTGTGCATCCCTGTGTATAAATAAGAAAGTGAGCGCACTCCAGTGAGTGGCAAATGCACAAAAAGGAACTACAAGCCCTTCCAACTAAAATAGAAAAAATATAATTGCAGCGCTACAAATAATGTCCAGGTAGCAATTAGAATATATACGATTGTCCAATATAGAAATGTTAAAGGTGATAAACAGTTCAATAATGAGGGGCTCTCAGGGAATATAGGTGTAATCCAATCCAAGGGATAGATAAATTGCCCGCTTACCAGAAGCGCAATTACAATGCGCATGTACAGGTTTCATGTAGCTGGGGTCCTATGTAGGCGCTGCTTAATAGTACCCAGATGGTCCGTCGGTGATAAGGGTGCATCACCCCTACGGTAGACGTGTATTGACACGAAGCGCGTCTAGGAGGAGCCTTCGCACGCCTTGACGTTACGCCACCGGGTCTGGAGGTCCGGCGGCCCACCCATGTTTCTCACTGGTCAGTGTTATGAATCTTTTTTCAGCTGCTTTTACTGGCTACAGGCTGCAGACCTGGCACTGAGTTCCCATACCTCAGCCCCAGCACTTTTAGGTTCTCTGTGTGGACCCAAGGAGCAGTGTGATCCGACCAGACCAGTATCGCCTTATCACCGACGGACCATCTGGGTACTATTAAGCAGCGCGTACATGGGACCCCGGCTACATGAAACCTGTACATGCGCTTTGTAATTGCGCTTCTGGTAAGCGGGCAATTTATCTATCCCTTGGATTGGATTACACCTATACTCCCTGAGAGTCCCTCATTATTGAACTGTTTATCACCTTTAACATTTCTATATTGGACAATCGTATATATTCTAATTGCTACCTGGACATTGTTTGTACCTGTGCATCCCTGTTCAGGTAAACAAAGACCTCTATGGGCATGAACAAGGCCTAAAGACTGGTAAGCTGCTATACTCTATATTTTAGCTCTTGGGCTTAGTTATCCTTAAACATATACTGTATAACACAGTGATGTTGGCACCACTTTACGTTTATTTATATTCACAATCTATAGTGCATTAACTGGTAACAATTCAAGGCCTGCCGGTATCCTCACTATACAGTAAATCCATGTAGCAGGAACCCAATCACCATGGAGACTTAACTGCCTGCAGGCCTAATGCGAAGCTCTGACAGATGTTCAAGGACTCATAAATTGCAACAGGCCGAGGCGTCAACCTACACTACGAGATCATTATCCTAGTGTCGCTGTCACTCCTTGTTTAACTATTAGATCCAGCACACTGGGGTCAGAAAACAATTAAAATCCTAAAGGAATGATACAATGAACGCTATTGAAATGTTGTAGCACTATTACCATTTAATTCATAGTATAGGTTTATCTCCTGCAGTGATCAGTTTTGGAAAGAGTACAAAAGATATACAAATTAAAATGTAGGATACAAATAACCTATCACATAGACTTATCTTTCAGCTCATTTTATTATTAGTACCCAAATTAGCAACTACTGACCCAATCATGAAACATTATTTATTAGCCAGAAAAAAAGAAAAACTACCAGTGATACAGATATACCATTGCATATTTTTTATGCAGACTTAGCATCACTTTTGTTTTATTTTTTTTTTTTAAGTAATTGCATGCTTAGTATTATGTAAATTAAAAAATTATGAGTATCTGTTACCGTTCAGATTACAGTACTCCCCCGGTAATAATTTAATCTTCTGTTCTTAAAATGCCAACATCATCTTTGTTCAGGCATCATCCAGGGTCAGCATTTACTTTCTAGATAAGGATCTTGACCTATAACATAAACATATGCCCTATACCTGTTTATAAGCCTCTATGTTCTTGGCAGTGGAAACACATTTAGGGGAATTCAAAATAACCCCAAAGGCACTTTTCTTGCAGTAGTTCCTTTAAGCCGGCCATAGACGTTTCGAACCATGTACTGTACAGGCAGGCTGAATGTACCCAAGTCGATCGATCTGTTATAGCCACTAGCAATAATCACTGTCTTCTCCCAGCGGGGGGTGACTACCCCACCACCACCTAGAGAACACAATGGCTCGGCGGGAGGAATTCCCCTGTCAACACTGTCTTTGTTGATAGGGAAATCTTGGTTGCAGGAAAGAAATTTGCACCATCAATGGCCTGTCTTAAGAACTACCTGTGCCGATTTCGGACACTCATTTGCACCATTATTGGTAACATTACCAACATGTGTGGCAAATTCAGATAGTTCTTACTACTGCCATTTTAGGAATCTGTCTCAGATTAGAAAGTTCTCAGAATTCCTAAACTGCGAGATCAAACCAGCCTGCCAGAGTTTACATGTGATTATTGCTATTGCTAGCAGCCGTTATAGCCACTTGCAGTAATCACTGTGTTCTCCCGGCAGGGATGGCTCCCTCCACCAGAAGAACACAATAGCTCTGCGGCAGAGATTCCCCCCTTCTGTGTTGATGGGGGAAACCAGCGAACATGTAGTTCTAAAGAAACCAATGAGAACCATGGGCTGCAGAAATGAAAGTCACTACATCTATGGCTGGCTTCAATAGGTATTTTTCTGCACTTGCAGGACCTTTAGGCCCCATTCACAGCTGTCTGCAGATACTTGCTGCCAGAGAAACCGTTGCATGCACACAGTGTGCGTAAACAGCAGCAGCATGGCCTCCAGCACAAATAAATTGCCGGCACTGCTGCTACTTGCATGTAATCACTCATCTGAAAAAATAAATTAAATACCCAGTTCTTATGAAATAACAAAATAAAGCTATATCCTTTTAAAAAAAAATGCTAGAAAATTAATGTGGGTACAGTGATGCAAGTAATTGTCAATAAAAAGTAAAGACAAAGTCCAAAAACCCACTGCAACCAATCACAATTCATTTTACAAGAGTCTGATCAGTTTGACATTGAGTGCAGCACTTTGAGCTTGACACTTTGCTACTAGCAGCATTTTAGTATAAAAGCACATAAATACCTCAATTCTAGACTGCAACAACTAGCTTTGAGAAAAGATGGCATTATCTTACTAGGGGTTACTAAAACATCCACGGTAGTTCATTTTAAGAGACTGTTTTAATGTAACCACTTGTATATAACCATGTATATAAACGGCCGGAGGGGAGCAGTACAGGGACGAGGTGTCCTCCCGCCTCCCTGCCTGTGCGCAGCACTGCGATCCAGTGCCCGTTGTGTCCTCTGCACACAGCGGAACACCGATTGCTCAATGGGACGTCTGTGTGAGGTTCTGATCATGTGATCACTGATTGGCCAATCAGTGATCACATGAATAGTAGTAAGTAAGTTGTCACTTCTGACATCATTGCTTACTACTAGTGAAATCTGTGATTGATCACAGAGATCACATGGTAAAAGGCTATTCACAACAGCCTTGTACCATGTGACAAGCTGTGACCAATCACAGCTCGCATAGTATTTCTTAATGGCTGCAAGAATGCAACCAGAGAGAAGGAGAAATTATTGCTTTTACACCCATAAGGCTGTAAAAGCAATCAGTGTAAAAAAAAAAAAAAAAAAAAACATGTTCATCACCCCCCACAAGTAGTACAGTGTCACTATGGTGACAATGTACTGCTAGGGTGACGGTACGTAAAAAAGAATAAAATATTTAAACATGAAATAAAAATGTAAAAAAATATTATAAACAAATTTGGGTTTTTTATTTTTTACTAAAAAGATAGCTGAATACATTATGGCCAATATTTATGAAGAAAGATTATTTATTTTCAAAATTTTATAAGAAAAACTTTTTTTTTTCAAAATGTTTGTACTTTTTCATTTAAGTAGAAAAAAAATAAAAATCCAAGTGAATAAATACCACCAAAATAAAGTTTTATCTGTCTCAAAAACATGAAAAAAAAGTCATATGGGTACAGTGTGGCATGATCGTGCATTTGTCATTCAAAGTGTGATAGCACTGAAAGCTGAAAATTGGCCTGGACAAAAAGGGGGTAAAAGTGTCCGGATTTAAAGTGGTTAAAGATAAATTCTAGGTATGGTATACCCAGCAATTGCATTCAGAGTAGGTAAGTGAGGGAACTGCCCCTTCACTGTAAACACTGCTTCTCTCCTTGCACATAGTGCCCCCCACTTGCCATAAAGAGGACCTGTCACCTATATGTTATCACATTAGGGGTTACTGGTCCCCTATGTGATAGCAATAAAGTCGTGTAAAAAAAAAAAAAGTTTTAAACATTTAAAAAAGGTTTATTCTTTTGAGCCAGCCACCCACCCCCACATACATACACATACAAAAACGCATGCGTTCAGGCATCCTGGGTAACTCTAAACTGATGACCTGTAGGGGCTTCTAAAGCATCGCCTATGGAAAATATAGGGTACTGAAGTTTTTTCACTGGCGCACATGATTTTAATGCTTGACATAATGGGTATCTATTCACTCGGTGCATCTTCTTCTTTTATATTTTACCGAAAAACTAAGTACTTCCATTTGTGTGTCTAAAATTAAAATTAACTTTAGTGTATTTTTTGCTAAAACTATGCATTTCATAAACTGTTGCACTAATATCACGAGACATTAAAAATTGGAACTACCACTTTAATTCAAGGGTGTCTGCTTTCAGAAAGTAAATAAAGTAATCCTCAGATCTATATTTATTATTTAATTATGTAACTAAAAAATGAAGAAAAAAAAAACTGATTTAGAAGATCTATAGAAGACAGTACACCTACAGCTATCCAGTTCTATTGTTGGAAAAATACATTCAAAAGTACATTTTCTGGGTCTCTCAATCTCCCACCACCACCAAAAAGAAATTTTTTTTTCCATCTTTAGAAAAACAATGATATATTTGAAACTGGCATTTAATTCACATGTCCCCAAGGGAAAGCATAACATTATTTCAGAATTCGAGCAGCCACCTCTAACTTTCCATTTCCAACAGTCCGAGTATTCATGAGGGACGTGACAGGAAAAGCAGTCTATGTACAGGCTTTAGTTTCCATCTTATGCTGTTGCCACATAGACTTCATTCACACCTCATGTAGAAGGATGAAACAAAACCACTTTTATTTCACACACTTGAAGAACTCAACCTACAGTAGATTTGTGAAGTTTAACTGTAATAGCACTCTAATGAGAAATTTTTGCTAGATCGGCTAACCTTTAGAAACTCTACAGTGCATTTTAATTCTTCTCACTATAAAAAAGGTTATTTAAAGTGGTTGTAAACCTCAGAAATGTAATATGAGCAAAGCAGATCCCTCTATAGTGTGTACTTGTCTCAATTAAGATTCTTTCACACGGGTGTTCCGTTTTTTTCATCAGTTCAGTCACGCTTTTTCGGAGAAAAAAAACAGATCAGTTCACATCAGTTTACCAATGCAAAAACAGACCGTATGTTCATTTACATTTGACCATTTATTTGTCCATTCCGGGTTTTTTTTACGGAAGAAAAATAGGGTTTTCTTCCGTTCAAAAAAAAAAAGAAAAAAAGAAGGATGTTAACGGGTGCTGACATTAAAGGATGTAAACAGATGATCATCGGTTTACATCCGCTAGTCCAAAGAAATACATGGTTGTCCGTTTTTCATCTGTAAACGGATGGATTAAAAAACGGGCATACAGAATGCTTGTGTGAAAGGGGCCTAAGTGACATTTCTGTTTGCTGCTTTTTTTTTCCCCGGCTATCAGCAAGAGTCATGTCTGCCAAGTTTTATTGACACCAAGAGAAAAAAAGGTGTCAAGGG